AAAACGTTCTGTATCTTGACTGTGTTGGTATTTCATACACATCAGTCAAAACTCATCTAACTGTACAACTAAAATGGATTAAAAGAGACCTATTAAAATTAATGAGATATTAAAATTGAGATTTTTTGTGACTGCAAGTGACTTAAGGGCTTTTTATTACATAAGAAAGATCAGAAAAACTAAGGAACCTGCATAAGATTTCTTTCCGTGACAAAAACAGACTACACCTAACTGTGGGTCTGAAGGGATTCTAGGTGAAGATATGAAGATTAAGATTGTAATCTTTAAAACATGTTCATTCAATAAAATGATCACATCTCATTTTATCCTTACAGCATTCCTATTAGGTACTGAAAATACCATGCTAGTTTAAGAAATCAAAAAAATAGGTACAGAGAGGTTAAGTATAACTCGCCCAAAACAACTAAGTCAATTTTCAGTTGAACTGAAAATTAAACCCAGGCAATCCATACTTTTAACCAGTATACCACTTTTCCACCTTAGACTAAAATTTAAAGTTTAATAATATTTAAGTATTGATACAGTGTAGGGAAAAGAGCATCCATACCCAGTAGATGGGAGTTTAATGTGGGTACCATCTTTTCAGGAAAACATTTTGGCAATACCAAAACTGACAAAAGTCTTTAAGCCAGCTAACAATCTCTTCCAGGAAATAACACTACAGAAATTTCATTCCAAGTATATTTTCAAGGATGCTGCTGTATTACTTGTATGGCAGAAAACCTGCAAATGATCTCAATGTCAACCAATAGGAAATGGTCAAATAATTACGGTACATGACACCTTGCCATAAAAAAGAATAAGAAAGATCGATGCAGATGCCCTGAGTAAAACAGGCCAAATCATAGAACTGGGTGTGTAACAATTTAAATAAGCACAAAAGAAAAGTTTTGGAAGGATTCAACAAAATATCAATCTGGAGACCAGGAAAAGTGTGGTTAGTTGAAAGTGATTATTACACTTTTATTACTGTATTCTATACTATTTACTTCTTCAATTTGGCACTTTTAACTTTAATAATGTAAAAAGTAATTTTAATAAATACTACTGATGTTTAGTTCAAATTTTGAAAAGAACAGCTGACTATTTTGAACTATATTTAAAAAAGCAATCTGACCTTTCAGTTGATTTGAGGGAAGACATATTTGGAGAGAAGTGATAATGAGAAACTTAAGCTAACTTCTACAAAGACTGGCATTTATTATGCAGGCATTAAAAGGTAACCAACCAATTAGGCTCCTTTAATTTACAAGATTCGATAGAACACAAGTTGGGAATCTTATGATCCATTTTCCTGCAATGCTCAATGATGTCTATACTAAATTACTTGCACTGGGCCCAGCTATCAAGATAAACTCTCGTGTTTTACAATCCATTAGTATACCCTAGTTACACACCCTCCTAAAAAAACTTTGAGCTTTTCTAAAAAGAAAAAGCCCCCAAAATGCAATAATCTTATACATACACAAGACCTATTAGGCATCCAAATATAAATGAATTTGTGAAACAGTTCCCTTTAACAGAAACATATAAATCCATGGCAATTTCATAATAAATTTGTAACATTTGTAAAATGTAGATTTTCTTTATCAGAAGTATATAAATACCAAAGAGGAAAAAAAAGTCCTCTGGGGTGGAGGAGCAATGCTCTGGGATCAAGACAAGACATAAGAATAAAGAAACCAAATATTGCATAACTCCTTCTAAATGCTAATTATAACCAAATATTGAATAACTCCTTCTAAATGCTATTTAAACATGTTATACTAATAATAAAAATAACTGAGGTCTTATAAAAAAGGGGGGGGGCTCTGCCAAAACCAAACATTTTTAATGAAATTAAATAATCCCAAATGATTACAAATGAGTATGCAAAAATATAACATCAATAATCCTTTACATTGAGAATGTTTAAACAGACTGAAGCTTTAAAGGTTCTTGTGAAAAACCATATGACATGATCACAGAATGTGGCTTAAGCCAGGTCACTTCAACTCTACTTATGTTTTATTGCTGTAATTCTCCAAAATATCTTACCATAACAAGTACTCATCGATAATACTTATTCAACAAATATTTTAGAGACTATTTTGTGTTTATGCATGATCATGCTAAACACTGACCACACCTTTATAGCGATAGTACAATGTACACTCATTTCTCTCACACTATGAGAAGCAGTCTGTTATAGTGGAAAGAATGGTGACCTAGAAAAAAATCTGGAAATAATAAAGACAAAAAAAAAAGGAAACAAAAAAATCTTGCAATTTCTGCTCTAACCTGCTCATGAGTCATTTTTAACTTTCAGATTAGGCTGACGGTCAGCTCATGCCCCATGAACATGTATAATCAATTTTTTAAAAAAAACTTTCAGATCAACAAAACTATGTGTTATACCTCACAAACTCAATTCAGGAAATAAATTAGGCTAAGTAAATATTTAAATCTTTTTTAAAAGATTTTTTTAAAAATCTCATTACTACATTTTAATGCTACTGAGGCTTACAACCATTAGGAATGAAAAAATAGGGAGGGAGGTTTCAGTAATGGGCCACAATAATCAACCACATTGTATATCGACAAAATAAAATTAAAAAAAAAAAAAAAGAATTGGGGAATTTCTAATATTAAAGGAGCTTTTATTGTTTATAAATATAAGCAAATAATCCTTAAATTTGTATTGGGGAAAAAAATAAAGACTCAGATCAAAAAAAAGAAATGAAAAAATATTCTAACCTTAAAAAAAAACAGCAAACATATTAAAGCTGTAGTGTTGGAATTTCACAATGTCCTACACAAGGCCACAAGATTCTTTAGAATTAAGAAAGAAAAATATGTACACAAGGAATTTTCTAAAAATAATTTTTTTATCCTTTTATGATATTCTGTATTTTTTAAAATAGGAAAATATTTTAATTTAAAACTCCAAAATAAACTCTGAAAAAAAAATTTCAAATTCCATATGATTTAACTCACTTTTTATAAATATATATAAACATCTCTTTGTACATCTGCAACCCCATGCCTTGTTATACAGATAAATACATCAGTTTTTCATATTAAGAATCTATATAAACTAAGAATTTTTGGTTGCCTTTTAGAGACCATATACAGAGGTACTAAAAAAAAAAAATTTTTAAGCTATGACTAAACAGAAAGCCACCCCATCAAGTACTTTAAACACAACCATATTTTCCCCTCTTTATATATTCTACTCAACCATCTAACACCTTTTTAATCATGTATTCAAAAAAATTCAAAAAGGAAACAATAAAAAATGCTTTAAGCAACTATGGCAAATTCTATCTTTTTAAAAGTATTGCATATTTAAAACATTTTATTAACGTGTGAAAGGGAAAAAAGCTTTGCAACCAAAGGTTTACTAAAATGATTATCAATGCCTCCAATGGGTAATAAATCTTAAAATATACATTGACTGTTAATTACTGTCCATCTTAATTTCTTTTTATCTGAAATTCAGAAGCAATGTGTATTCCCTTTAGGGGAAATTTAGATACAAAAAAGTAAGTTTATTTAAAAAAACACTTTAAATTTTACAGTATTTTTCATTTCAAGATTCTTTTAGATAAAGCAGATGTGCTCTGTGGTTTAAACAATCTGATTAACAAAATTTCATTTAGTTCTATTTAGTAAAATACAAAAACACAAATGGTGAAATGGTGGACTATTAATAACTATTAAGAAATCTAGGGCTGGCAACTTAGTTCAATTAGTTAGAGCAAGCCTTGCAACACCAAGATCATTGATATGGACCCTGGTACTGGCCAGCACCCCCCCCCCCAAAAAAAAAAAGGCCCCCAAAAC